TTGTTATCCTCATAACCTTACTCTTTCCTGTATTCACCTTTAATTTCCTTCTTTTGCACACCCTACCAAATTCATCCACCAATCTCTGCAACTTCTCTTCAGAATCTCCCAAGAGCACAGTGTCATCAGCAAAGAGCAGCTGTGACAACTCCCACTTTGTGTGTGATTCTTTATCTTTTAACTCCACGCCTCTTGCCAAGACCCTCGCATTTACTTCTCTTACAACCCCATCTATAAATATATTAAACAACCACGGTGACATCACACATCCTTGTCTAAGGCCTACTTTTACTGGGAAAAAATTTCCCTCTTTCCTACATACTCTAACTTGAGCCTCACTATCCTCGATAAAAACTCTTCACTGCTTTCAGTAACCTACCTCCTACACCATACACTTGCAACATCTGCCACATTGCCCCCCTATCCACCCTGTCATACGCCTTTTCCAAATCCATAAAATGCCACAAACACCTCTTTAGCCTTATCTAAATACTGTTCACTTATATGTTTCACTGTAAACACCTGGTCCACACACCCCCTACCTTTCCTAAAGCCTCCTTGTTCATCTGCTATCCTATTCTCCGTCTTACTCTTAATTCTTTCAATTATAACTCTACCATACACTTTACCAGGTACACTCAACAGACTTATCCCCCTATAATTTTTGCACTCTCTTTTATCCCCTTTGCCTTTATACAAAGGAACTATGCATGCTCTCTGCCAATCCCTAGGTACCTTACCCTCTTCCATACATTTATTAAATAATTGCACCAACCACTCCAAAACTATATCCCCACCTGCTTTTAACATTTCTATCTTTATCCCATCAATCCCGGCTGCCTTACCCCTTTCATTTTACCTACTGCCTCACGAACTTCCCCCACACTCACAACTGGCTCTTCCTCACTCCCACAAGATGTTATTCCTCCTTGCCCTATACACGAAATCACAGCTTCCCTATCTTCATATATATATATATATATATATATATATATATATATATATATATATATATATATATATATATATATATATGCATGCCTGCACTTTAAAGGAGGGGTTTGGGATATTGGCAGTTTGGAGGGATATGTTGTGTATCTTTATATGTATATGCTTCTAAACTGTTGTATTCTGAGCACCTCTGCAAAAACAGTGATAATGTGTGAGTGTGGTGAAAGTGTTGAATGATGATGAAAGTATTTTCTTTTTGGGGATTTTCTTTCTTTTTTGGGTCACCCTGCCTCGGTGGGAGACGGCCGACTTGTTGAAAAAAAAATATATATATATATATATTAGCAGTTTGGAGGGATATGTTGTGCATCTCTATACGCATATGCCTCCAAACTGCTGTGTTCCGAGCACCTCTGAAAAAACAGCGACTATGTGTGAGTGAGGTGAAAGTGTTGAATGATGATGAAAGCATTTACTTTTCGGGGACCTTCCCCTCTTCACTAAATGTTACCCTGCTCACACTCCAACAGCTCGCCAGGTCCCAAATACCATTCGTCTCCATTCACTCCTATCTAACACACTTACACATGCTTGCTGGAGGTCCAAGCCCCTCGCCCACAAAACATCCTCTACACCCTCCCTCCAACCCTTTTGAGGACAACCCCTACCCCGCCTTCCTTCCTCTACAGATTTATACGCTCTCCATGTCATTCTACTTCAATCCATTCTCTCTAAATGACCAAACCACCTCAACAACCGCTCTTCAGCCCTCTGACTAATACTTTTATTAACTCCACACCTTCTCCTAATTTCCACACTCCGAATTTTCTGCATAACATTTACACCACACATTGCCCTTAGACAGGACATCTCCAATGCCTCCTCGCTGCAGCATTACAACCCAAGCTTCACACCCATATGTGTTGGTACCACTATATAGTGGACCCCCGGTTAACGATATTTTTTCATTCCAGAAGTACAGTGGTCCCTCAATAATCGTCCGGCCTGAAAGTCCTCCATTTCGGAAATAGTCCTGTTTTTTCATGAAAATATTGGCTCGGAAATGGTCCGGTAACTCGCTAATAGTCCTTCGTCCCAGACGCGTATGCATGGTCTGAGCGGCCTCGAGCCACCTCAGCCTTTCCTTCCCAGCCAGTGTGCCATTGTTTACCAGTGAGCGACGGTCTCCTCACGTGCTCCAGTGAAATATTTCATAATATTTCATTTATTTTAGTGCTTGCAAGTTATTTAAGTGCTAAATAAGCTACCATGGCTCCAAAGAAAGCTCCTAGTGCCAAGCCTTTGGTAAAGAAGGTGAGAAATAAGATTCAATTTAAGAAAAACATCATTGAACAATATGATAGTGGTGTACGTGTGGGCGAACTGGCCAGGAGATAACAAATCCCGTACAACCATATCTTCCATCATAGCCAAGAAAAAGGAAATCAAGGATGCTGTTGTTGCAAAGGGGGTAAATATGCTGACAAAAATGAGATCACCAGTACTCGAAGATGTTGAGAAGTTATTATTGGTGTGGATAAATGAGAAACAATTAGCAGGAGACAGTCTTATGACGTCGCTTATTTGTGAAAAGGCTAGGCAGTTGCATGACGATTTGGTAAAGAAATTGCCTGCAACTAGTGATGATGTGAGTGAATTTAAGGCTAGCAAAGGCTGGTTTGAGAGATTTATGAAGCGTACTGGCATACACAGTGTGGTAAGGCATGGTGAGGCTGCCAGTTCGGACCACAAGGTGGCTGAAAAATATGTGCATGAATTCCAGGAGTACATAAACAGTGAAGGACTGAAACCTGAACAAGTGTTCAATTGTGACGAAACAGGCCTCTTTTGGAAGAAAATGCCAAAGAGGACCTTCATTACACAAGAGGAAAAGGCAATGCCAGGACACAAGCCTATGAAAGACAGGCTGACGCTAATGTTCTGTGCTAATGCTAGTGGGGATTTCAAAGTGAAGCCGTTACTAGTGTACCATTCTGAAAATCCCAGAGTGTTCAGGAAAAACAATGTTATGAAGAGTAAATTGTGTGTGTTTTGGAAATCTAATAGTAAGGCATGGGTCACGAGGGAAATTTTTGTAGAGTGGTTCAACGAAGTGTTTGGCCCTAGTGTGAAGAATTACCTCCTGGAAAAGAAATTGGATCTCAAGTGCCTCCTAGTAATGGACAATGCACCTGCTCATCCTCCAAACTTGGATGACCTAATTTTGAAGGAGTTTGGGTTCATCACAGTAAAGTTCTTGCCCCCGAATACCACTCCTCTCCTCCAACCCATGGACCAGCAGGTCATTGCAAACTTTAAAAAACTCTACACCAAAGCAATGTTTGAAAGGTGCTTGAATGTGACCTCAGACACTCACTTGACCCTACGAGATTTTTGGAAAGAACATTTCAGTATTCTCCATTGTGTAAGCCTTATAGGTAAGGCTTGGGAGGGAGTGACTACCAGGACTTTGAACTCTGCTTGGAGAAAATTGTGGCCAGATTGTGTCCACAAGAGGGATTTTGAAGGGTTTGGGGCTGACCCTGATGAGCCTATGTCAGTTGTTAAATCCATTGTGGCACTGGGGGCTTCCATGGGGTTGGATGTGAGTTTGGAGAATGTAGAAGAGTTGGTGGAGGACCACAACAAAGAGCTAACCACTGAGGAGCTGCAAGAGCTTCAGCAGGAACAGCAACAGATGGTAGCTCTGAATCTTGCTGCAGAGGAGGAGGAAGAGAGATGGAGGAAGGTACCTTCTTCAGAAATTAAGGAGATTTTTGAAATGTGGGGTAGGATGGAAAGATTTATGGAGAAACATCACCCAGAGAAGGATGTTGCAAGCCATATCAGCAACTTGTACAGTGACAGAGTCTTGGCCCATTTTAGGGAAGTTTTAAAGAGACGCCAGAAACAGAGCTCTCTGGACAGTTTTTTTGCGAGACAAGACTCCAGTGACTCTCAAGGTGGTCCTAGTGGCATTAAGAAACAGAGAAGAGAAGTAACCCCAGAAAAGCAATTGGTACCCAAGGTGTTGATGGAAGGGGATTCCCCTTCCAAACAGTAATTCATCCAATCAGTCTCCTTCTCCAGTCTTCCATACACAAAGAAGAATCGCCAATAAAGGTAAGTGTTATTTTGTTAATGTTTAATTCATCATGTGCCACTGTATTGTTTATGTACTACATCTATATTCATGTAAAAAATTTTTTTGTTTTAATACTTCTGGGTGTCAGGAACAGATTAACTGAATTTACATTATTTCTTATGGGGAAAATTGATTCGTAAATCGTCCATTTCGATAACAGTCCCACTTCCAGGAACGGATTATGGACGATTATTGAGGGACCACTGTATGTTCAGGTGCCAGTACTGACCGAAATATTCCCATAAGGAATATTGTGAAGTAGATTAGTCCATTTCAGACCCCCAAACATACACGTACAAACGCACTTACATAAATACACTTACATAATTGGTCGCATTGGGAGGTGATCGTTAAGCGGGGGTCCACCGTACTTTCATACATTCTCTTCTTTGCCTTGATAGATAACGTTCTTTGTCTCCACATATACCTCAATGCACCACTCATGTTTTTTCCCTCATCAATTCTATGATTAACCTCATCCTTCATAAATCCATCTGCTGATACATATATTATACTTATACAGCCTCTCCTCACTTAACGACAGGGTTCCGTCCTAAGAGTAAGTTGGTAAGCAAACTGGTCATTAAGCAAGGAGCACATTGTACTGGTAGTGGGTTTATGTCAACCATCTTCAGATGTTTTTTTAACGTCACTTTTGCACCATTTATAACATTTTCAGTATATTTTTAAATGTTTATACAGTAGTGTACTGTATGTAATAAACAGAATAAAGGAAATCAGCTCAAATATACATTACTTAGGTTTGCATATTAGATGGAGAGCTGGAGGGAGATGGAGAGTGGTTGGTAAACTAGTAAGTCACTAAGTGAGGAGAAGCTGTTTAATTAAATACATGTATTACATATTATTACAGAAAACTGCAAAATTTTTATTTTGTACTAACCATTGAATGTGCAAGCCGACTTTGGTGCTGAGCAAAATGTCTTATGGTTTGGATAACAGTTGTTCGATCCATGTCTTGTGAGAAGTGACAGAGACCAATAGAGAGTGTATTTATCAGGTCATACCACAACCCAGTACTCACGCCTCCACAGTCCTCCTGAAGAACAATAAGCAGTTTTAATTTCATTTCTTATGATAGTTTAAGTTAATTAGTGTAATAGACTGCAGTTACAAATACGAAAAATACACAAGTAAACTATCACTACACATACAGTGCCTGCATTAATACTCCAGACCTGCCTCCATTATAAACAGTATAAAGTGGTCTGGATTCCTATTGTGAATCTGAATGTTTTCTGGAGAGATCTGTCAACTCTCAGAGTTAATAAAAGAGACCGAGGTATGCATCACCTCTCGGTGCACCTGCATATGGCAGTGAGGTAAGGTGTTCTGTTGCATTGCTCGTAAAAGGCATGAGTAGGAATTTCCTTGCAGCATGACGACTTGGCAGGCAGAGATCCTTTTTCAGGTGGAGTTGAATGCAAAATATCAAGATGTTATCTAAGAGTTCAGGATGAATTTCTTTGAGCTGTGATATAGTCATATATGGACTTCTACATAGTCCTCTCTGTAGAATGTTACCTCTGTGTTTAGACATCCTTCATGGCCATTCAGTATGAGGTTTTGTAGCAGAAATGTCTGGTAAGAGACCATGGGAGGCAGCAATTATGCTGAATTCTGTTCATCCAGTACAGAGATAAATTTCCTTTATGGCGACTTTCTTGTCTCCTAGAAAACATATGGGTTATTTCTTCACTATTTATCTTTGAATGACCCAAAATTACATGGCACAAAATTACATGGCATTAAATATAGCTCCAAATCCTGGGCATTTGGCACTACAAAATATTTATACAAGTACCAAGTATTACAGTTTTTGGTCCCATAATATTTATATTGTTGCTTTTTAATGATTTTCGTAATAATGAAGGGGAGGTCTGGATTATTTTTGTGGGCACTGTAAATGTCACAGAAATATAACAAGCACAAGAATAATTACCTGAGTGGTAGATGATATATGCAGCAGAACATTGAGCACCTCCATATAATGCTCAGGGAAGTTATTATTCAACAAAATCTGAAGGTGCACACGGTATAGCTGTAAAATAAAATATGAAATTTCACTATAATATAACATAAAAATAGCAAGAGAATATTATATAAATGGTTTTGAATATATTGTTCAATGACAAGATTTTATACTGATTTAATTTTTGTAATATACATGGAAGTCAAAATTTAAGAGTTGATCAACACAAATGGGAAATGGCCAATACGGTAAAAAAAAAAGAAAAAATCAAATGGTGCCACCCTGATTAATGATGCTGTATTAATACCCAGGAATGAAAAATGAAGTTTGAAAAGGACATTTCTATCTCAGGGGCTGAAGACCTACTTACTTGAAACACAACCTGTGACTAATTTTGAGGACATAGTAGGTTGGTACCTAGGTAGTAGGGAGGTACTACCGTCCTCCCAAGTGAGTGTAAAACAAAAGCCTGTAATTGTTTTACATGATGGTAGGATTGCTGGTGTCTTTTTTCTGTTTCATAAACATGCAAGATTTCAGGTAGGTCTTGCTACTTCTACTTATATTAAGGTCACACTACACATGCATGTACAAGCATATATATACAGACCCTTCTGGGTGTTCATATATTTTTCTTACTAGTGCTTGTTCTTATTTATATCCACTTATCTCCATGGGGAAGTGAAACAGAATGTCCTCCGTAAGCCATGCGTATCGTAAGAGGCAACTAAAAATGCCGGGAGCAAGAGGCTAGTAACCCCTTCTCTTGTATATATTACTAAATGTACAAGGAGAAACTTTCGTTTTTCTTTTTGGGCCCCCCCACCTAGGTGGGATACGGCTGGTGCATTAAAAGAAAGAAAGAAAGAAGTAGGTTGGTAGTCAGCAACCACTCGGGGAGGTACTACCATCCTACCAAGTGTAAAAAGGAAGCCTGTATTTGTTCTACATGATGGTAGGATTGCTGGTGTCTTTTTTCTATCTCATAAACATGCAAGATTTCAGGTACATCTTGCTACTTCTACTTACACATAGGTCACACTACACATACATGTACACATTTAAGTATACACACTCATCTGAGTTTTCTTTGATTTTATCTTAACCCTTTCAGGGTCCAAGGCCCAAATCTGAAGTGGTGCCCCAATGTCCAAGAATTTTCAAAAAAACATTTGTTATTTTTTCTTATGAAATCGTAGAGAATCTTTTTGTGAAGGTAATAAAACAAAAAGTACGAAATTTGGTGGAAAATTGACGAAATTATGCTCTCGCGAATTTTGATGTGTCAGCAATATTTACGAATCGGCGATTTTGCCGACTTTGACTCCCATTTTAGGCCAATTACATTATTCCAATCAACCAAATTCTTAGCTATTTCACTAGTATTACTTCTATTCTATCGATTGAGCACAAGAAATCGCCAAGTCAACTGTTTCAACTACAAAATAAAGTGATCGGAAATTGTTAATTTGGCCAATTTAACACAAAGTTCAAAATATTTCCAATTTCAAAATAGGCTCCAGAATAAACAATGTAGGTATTCCTGGAACTAAACTAACATTTCCTCTGTTCATTAGTTACATTTTGAGGCTTTACAAATAAATTCCATTTTGATTTTTTATTCACATAATGAATTTTTATTCACACCAAAAAATAGAAGATTTACTGTTATGCAATACTGTAATAATTGTATAATATCATCACCATATTTGTGAATGTATATTAGACCCACCAGCTGACGTGTATTAGATGTGTGAGGTCGTTTGTTTACTCTTGAATATCGGCAAAAATTTAACATTTCCGCTACTTTGAGCTCAGTTTCAAGCCATTTCCAGTGCTAAAACCAATCAAAATCATCTCTATTTCTGTAATATGTCTTCCATTCTATCAAATGAGACCAAGAAATCACAAATACAACTATAAAAAACATACGAAAAACACTGCAAAGTCGCTGTTTTAATCGAAAAATCATGATTTCAGTTTTTTTCTCTCATTATACACAGTGTGCTGCAGGATCTGTTTTATGTGGTGCACACATACCACATAGATGTATTCTCTCATATCTAGGCCCAAATGTACCACTCACAGTTTATCAGAGTGAGCTGAGCTCATGGCGTAGATCTACGGTTTGGACACTCACCGTAAAGCCGTAGATCTACGGGACGGACCCTGAAAGGGTTAATAGTTCTTGTTCTTACTGCTTTTCCTTTCATATCCATGGGGAAGTGGAATAAGAATCTTTCCTCCGTAAGCCATGCGTGTTGTAAAAGTCAACTAAAATGCCGGGAACAATGGGCTAGTAATCCCTTTTTCTGTATAGCCTACTAAAAAGAAAAAGAAGAAAACCATCGAAGTGGGATGTTTAAATGTGGGTGGATGTTGTGCGAATGATAAAGAGATGATTGTGGATGTTATGAATGAGAAGAAGCTGGATGTCCTGGCTTTAAGTGAAACAAAGCTGAAGTGGGTGGGAGAGTTTCAGTGGGGGGAAATAAATGGGATTAAATCTGGAGTATCTGAGAGAGTTAGAGCAAAGGAAGGGGTAGCAGTAATGTTAAATGATCAGTTATGGAAGGAGAAAAGAGAATATGAATGTGTAAATTCAAGAATTATGTGGATTAAAGTAAAGGTTGGATGCGAGAAGTGGGTCATAATAAGCGTGTATGCACCTGGAGAAGGGAGGAATGCAGAGGAGAGAGAGAGATTTTGGGAGATGTTAAGTGAATGTATAGGAGCCTTTGAACCAAGTGAGAGAGTAATTGTGGTAGGGGACCTGAATGCTAAAGTAGGAGAAACTTTTAGAGAGGGTGTGGTAAGTAAGTTTGGGGTGCCAGGTGTAAATGATAATGGGAGCCCTTTGATTGAACTTTGTATAGAAAGGGGTTTAGTTATAGGTAATACATATTTTAAGAAAAAGAGGATAAATAAGTATACAAGATATGATGTAGGGCGAAATGACAGTAGTTTGTTGGATTATGTATTGGTAGATAAAAGACTGTTGAGTAGACTTCAGGATGTACATGTTTATAGAGGGGCCACAGATATATCAGATCACTTTCTAGTTGTAGCTACACTGAGAGTAAAAGGTAGATGGGATACAAGGAGAATAGAAGCATCAGGGAAGAGAGAGGTGAAGGTTTATAAACTAAAAGAGGAGGCAGATAGGGTAAGATATAAACAGCTATTGGAGGATAGATGGGCTAATGAGAGCATAGGCAATGGGTCGAAGAGGTATGGGGTAGGTTTAAAAATGTAGTGTTAGAGTGTTCAGCAGAAGTTTGTGGTTACAGGAAGTGGGTGCGGGAGGGAAGAGGAGCGATTGGTGGAATGATGATGTAAAGAGAGTAGTAAGGGAGAAAAAGTTAGCATATGAGAAGTTTTTACAAAGTAGAAGTGATGCAAGGAGGGAAGAGTATATGGAGAAAAAGAGAGAGGTTAAGAGAGTGGTGAAGCAATGTAAAAAGAGAGCAAATGAGAGAGTGGGTGAGATGTTATCAACAAATTTTTGTTGAAAATAAGAAAAAGTTTTGGAGATTAACAAGTTAAGAAAGCCTAGAGAACAAATGGATTTGTCAGTTAAAAATAGGAGAGGAGAGTTATTAAATGGAGAGTTAGAGGTTTTGGAAGATGGGAGGGAATATTTTGAGGAATTGTTAAATGTTGATGAAGATAGGGAAGCTGTGATTTCGTGTTAGGACAAGGAGGAATAACATCTTGTAGGAGTGAGGAAGAGCCAGTTGTGAGTGTGGGGAAAGTTCGTGAGGCAGTAGGTAAAATGAAAGGGGGTAAGGCAGCCAGGATTGATGGGATAAAGATAGAAATGTTAAAAGCAGGTGGGGATATAATTTTGGAGTGGTTGGTGCAATTATTTAATAAATGTATGGAAGAGGGTAAGGTACCTAGGGATTGGCAGAGAGCATGCATAGTTCCTTTGTATAAAGGCAAAGGGGATAAAAGAGAGTGCAAAAATTATAGGGGGATAAGTCTGCTGAGTATACCTGGTAAAGTGTATGGTAGAGTTATTATTGAAAGAATTAAGAGTAAGATGGAGAATAGGATAGCAGATGAACAAGGAGGCTTTAGGAAAGGTAGGGGTGTGTGGACCAGGTGTTTACAGTGAACATATAAGTGAACAGTATTTAGATAAGGCTAAAGAGGTCTTTGTGGCATTTATGGATTTGGAAAAGGCGTATGACAGGGTGGATAGGGGGGCAATGTGGCAGATGTTGCAAGTGTATGGTGTAGGAGGTAGGTTACTGAAAGCAGTGAAGAGTTTTTACGAGGATAGTGAGGCTCAAGTTAGAGTATGTAGGAAAGAGGGAAATTATTTCCCAGTAAAAGTAGGCCTTAGACAAGGATGTGTGATGTCACCGTGGTTGTTTAATATATTTATAGATGGGGTTGTAAGAGAAGTAAATGCGAGGGTCTTGGCAAGACGCGTGGAGTTAAAAGAAAAAGAATCACACACAAAGTGGGAGTTGTCACAGCTGCTCTTTGCTGATGACACTGTGCTCTTGGGAGATTCTGAAGAGAAGTTGCAGAGATTGGTGGATGAATTTGGTAGGGTGTGCAAAAGAAGAAAATTAAAGGTGAATACAGGAAAGAGTAAGGTTACGAGGATAACAAAAAGATTAGGTGATGAAAGATTGAATATCAGATTGGAGGGAGAGAGTATGGAGGAGGTGAATGTATTCAGATATTTGGGCGTGGACGTGTCAGCGGATGGGTCTATGAAAGATGAGGTGAATCATAGAATTGATGAGGGGAAAAGAGTGAGTGGGTGCACTTAGGAGTCTGTGGAGACAAAGAACTTTGTCCTTGGAGGCAAAGAGGGGAATATATGAGAGTATAGTTTTACCAACGCTCTTATATGGGTGTGAAGCATGGGTGATGAATGTTGCAGCGAGGAGAAGGCTGGAGGCAGTGGAGATGTCATGTCTGAGGGCAATGTGTGGTGTGAATATAATGCAGAGAATTCGTAGTTTGGAAGTTAGGAGGAGGTGCGGGATTACCAAAACTGTTGTCCAGAGGGCTGAGGAAGGGTTGTTGAGGTGGTTCGGACATGTAGAGAGAATGGAGCGAAACAGAATGACTTCAAGAGTGTATCAGTCTGTAGTGGAAGGAAGGCGGGGTAGGGGTCGGCCTAGGAAAGGTTGGAGAGAGGGGGTAAAGGAGGTTTTGTGTGCGAGGGGCTTGGACTTCCAGCAGGCATGCGTGAGCATGTTTGATAGGAGTGAATGGAGACAAATGGTTTTTAATACTTGACGTGCTGTTGGAGTGTGAGCAAAGTAACATTTATGAAGGGGTTCAGGGAAACCGGCAGGCCGGACTTGAGTCCTGGAGATGGGAAGTACAGTGCCTGCACTCTGAAGGAGGGGTGTTAATGTTGCAGTTTAAAAACTGTAGTGTAAAGCACCCTTCTGGCAAGACAGTGATGGAGTGAATGATGGTGAAAGTTTTTCTTTTTCGGGCCACCCTGCCTTGGTGGGAATCGGCCAGTGTGATAATAAATATTTATTTTCTATAAAATAAGGGTTGGATGTGAAAAGTGAGTTACAGTAAGCATTTATGAACCTGGAGAAGAGAGAAGTGTAGAGGAGAGAGCGATATTTTGGGAAATGTTGAGTGAGTGCATGGGGAGTTTTGAACCAAGTGAGAGAGTACTTGCAGTTGGGAATCTCAATGCTAAAGTGGGTAAAAATATTTTGGAGGGAGTAGTAGGTAAATTTGGAGTGCCAGCGGTAAATGAAAATGGGGAGCCTTTAAATGAACTATGTGTAGAAAGAGGTTTGGTAATAAGTAATACATATTTTATGAAAATGAGGATAAGTATACCAGGTATGGTATAGCACATAATGAAAGTAGTTTGTTAGATTATGTATTGGTGGATAAAAGGTTGATGGGTAGGCTTTAGGATGTGCATGTTTATAGAGAGGCAACTGATATATCAGATCATTATTTAGTTGCAGCAACAGTTAGAGTAAGAGGTAGATTGGACAATAGGCAACAACAAGTAAGAGAGAGGTGAAAGTGTATTTACTAAGGAAGGATGAAGTTAAGGTGAGATATAAGCAACTATTCCTAGGTAGTAGGTTGGTAGACAGCAGCCACCCAGGGAGGTACTACCGTCCTGCCAAGTGAGTGTAAAACGAAAGCCTGTAATTGTTTTACATGATGGTAGGATTGCTGGTGTCCATTTTTCTGTCTCATGAACATGCAAGATTTCAGGTACGTCTTGCTACTTCTACTTACACTTAGGTAACACTACACATACATGTACAAGCATATATATACACACCCCTCTGGGTTTTCTTCTATTTTGTTTCTAGTTCTTGTTCTTGTTTATTTCTTCTTATCTCCATGGGGAAGTGGAACAGAATTCTTCCTCCGTAAGCCATGCGTGTTGTAAGAGGCGACTAAAATGCCGGGAGCAAGGGGCTAGTAACCCCTTCTGCTGTATATATTACTAAATGTAAAAGGAGAAACTTTTGTTTTTCCTTTTGGGCCACCCCGCCTCGGTGGGATACGACCGGTGTGTTGAAAGAAAGAAAGATAAGCAACTATTTGCAGAAAGGTGGGCTAGTGCAAGTATGAGTAGTGAGGGGGGAGGGGGTTGAAGAGGGTTGGAATAATTTAAAAAAAAAATGCAGTATTAGAATGTGGGGCAGAAGTTTGTGGCTATAGGAGGGTGGATGCAGGAGGAAAGAGGAGTGACTGGTGGAACGATAAAGTAAAGGGTGTGATAAAAGAGAAAAAGGTAGCTTACGAGAGGTTTTTACAAAGCAGAAGTGTTATAAGAAGAGCAAAGCATATGGAAAGTAAAAGAAAGGTGAAAAGAGTGGTGAGAGAGTGCAAAAGGAGAGCAAATGATTGAAAGAGAGAGGCACTGTCAAGAAATTTTGAGGAAAATAAGAAAAAATTGGAGATAAACAAGTTAAGAAAGCCTAGGAAATGAATGGATTTGTCAGTTAAAAAGAGAGCAGGGGAGTTAATAGATGGGGAGCTGGAGGTATTGGGTAGATGGTGGGAATATTTTGAGGAACTTTTAAATGCCGATGAAGAAAGGGAGGCAGTAATTTCATGCACTGGCCAGGGAGGTATAACATCTTTTAGGAGTGAAGAAGAGCAGGATGTAAGTGTGGGGGAGGTGTGTGAGGCATTACGTAGAATGAAAGGGGGTAAAGAAGCTGGAACTGACGGGTTCACGACAGAAATGTTAAAAGCAGTGGGGATATAGTGTTGGAGTGGTTGGTATTTTTGTTTAATAAATGTATGAAAGAGGGGAAGGTACCTAGGAATTGGCAGAGAGCATGTATAGTTCCTTTATATAAATGGAAGGGAGACAAAAGAGACTGTAAAAATTATAGGGGAAAAAGTTTACTGAGTATACCAGGAAAAGTGTACAGTAAGGCTTTAGAGTGAGTAAGGGATGTGTAGATCAAGTGTTTACATTGAAGCACATGTATGAACAGTATTTAGATAAAGGTAGGGAAGTTTTCATTGCATTTATGGATTGAGAAAAGGCATATGATAGAGTGGACAGGGGAGCAATGTGGCAAATGTTGCAAGTATATGGAATAGTGTTAGGCTTGCCGACACTAACAATGCTCTTTTCTGTCACGTCAGAGATCATTGCCATCCTATTGACCGGTCTTCTGCTAAAACTGTCTTCCCTACTTCCAACTCGAACAGTCGCCATCTAGTTGAATCCTCTCTAATACACAACTTTCCTTGTATGAATCTTAGCCCTGGCTTCATCTCTGTAGATGCCTTCCTCTCCCACTACATTGTAAAATGCTCCAAACTTCAGAACACCCGTGACTTAACCTGACTCCTCATTTTTTCTTTTTCTTTTTCTTCTTCTCCCTCTTCCCCTTTCCTCTTTCCTTTTTCTCCTCTGGGTTGTCTTTCTTCCTTCTGTCTCGTGTTTCTGTTCCTTCATTATTTATTTCACCACCTCCCCTTTCACCCACCTCTGTGCACTTGCTCTCCCTCTGTGGGCACCTAGCTCCCTTGCAGTGCTCCCCTTTCTTTGTATTTGACTGGCTCCTCCTTATTCCCTACTACTACCACTACTACTACTACTATTACTACTACTACTACTACTACCACCACCACCACCTCTTCCTGCCTATATATAGCCATCCTGCTCCACTTCTGGTTAGTGTGACTTTGTAAATGGTCCAAGTCGGACCGAAGCGTCGTCATAAGCCTGTCTCTTTTATGTGCGGGTTATTTGTGTATCGTTCCAGTCACGGTATTGTGCCTTTTTTTGTTATCTATATTTTATAATACGTAAACCCCGCATTGTAATCTTTATAGAGAATAAACTTTTGATTTGATTTGATTTGATTTGATTTGATTTGTATACCTTGAACAGGGCTGGGCTTTGAAATGAGCTGAGGCTAAAAAAAAAAAAATCTGTTTTGAAAACTGAGTTTCAACAGATTTAAGTTATTCTAAAAGATGCAAAGAGAAAAATGCCACAGAATCCTCACCTCGAGCACCATGCGAAGGCTTGCCTGCGGCTGTGGAAGAAGTGATGACAGCGCTGATTCCACAGCATTAACAAGTTCGCTGCACTCGCTACTATTTGGGTGAGCATTTGAAATCCAATTCTCGATGTCAAACTGAAAATTACTTCACAATGATTGTGGCACATAAAAGATGTGAGTTCCTCATGATTATCATACAATCTAAGGAAGGCAAATAAGAGCTGGGATGATGGGATGGATAAATTAGAGGGGAACACATGGAAATGATTTATGGCAGCAAGAAAAGTGATTTCAGAGCTTAATGTAGTAGCCACCTGCATTTCCAAGGGGAAGCAGAAATTCTGAGATACAGACAGAGATAAGAATAAAGTCCACTACACAGTACAGTGTTTTGCAACTTATACTAATGACTACAGGTACAACATCGATTTTCTGGACCTTTGGTTCCAAAGCCTTTCCAGATCACTGATTTTTCTGCCTTTAGATAGTGCAGTATTCCTTCGTCTTGGGGTTGGATAAGTGATGTACAGTTCGGTGATAAATACACTGCCACGGGAATTTCAAGTTCCTGCTCGTAAATTTGTATGATTCTGGACCATCAGTGTCCAGAAAATCAATGTTGTACCTGCATAAGCTAGAGAAACATTAATTAACGGTACAGGGACAACTCATTAAACTTATGAGCATTTCAACATGAAGAATAAACAAGAGCAATGTAAATATTTAATCAGTAAGACACTGAATAAGACAAAAAAATTATGAATCCTAATTGTATGCATTTTTGTCACATAAAACATACTGTCTGGCAGTACTGGTGCACCAATGGTTGCATGATAACTGAACCCAATGCTAATATACAAGCTGTTGGTTCAACACTGATACCTAGGATCAGCATGCCAGTGGTTGCTTGATCACTAAGTTGGCCATTATCATGTCAGGAAACACTTTGTTTCCTAATCAAGAAAACTCCAGAAGTACAGTGACTATTGAGATATATATATGTATAATGAAGATGTACCTTAGAGAAAGTAAAGTTATCTGTGAGAGTAGCAAGTCTGCCTCACATTTAGAAGATGGATGATCAAACTTCCACTACTGATTGCACTGAATGGCTAACATGGGCTTAGTGCTTCACATGCATAAAAAAAAATAAAACTGTACCTTAGAGAGAAGCATGAAGGTGTGGTCAGGAGCAACAACTGCATGAGAGCTCAATGAGGAGTAAAGCATCAGGAAGGTGTGTGTGGGAGTGATAGCTGGGGTAAAATGAGGAGCCAGCAGCCCACCCAGCTGTCCATTCCATTCAAAAACTTGAGCTACCAAAGCTTCCTGGCAATCTTCATGTCCTCTCACAAACTCCTACGTCATAACAATGAATAATCAATGGTATAAAAAGACAGCACATTTACCTAAAGTTTAAAAAAGGCAACATAGGTTGACTACAATGCCCCTAGCTAAGAAGATGGAATAAATAAAAAAAGGGAATAGAAGAAGTCATATTTGTAGCTCAAAAACTGGTAGATGTAATTTCAGAAAAAGTGACTAAAGAAAATAAGTCTAAAGAACATGAGTTATGGTTAATGTGATTCATTTCCACCCCAAATTTCCTAGCTACAAGTTGTATCCATAAATGCATGCACATAGGGGTATTTGAGTCTGCTAGTTGGGAAGGATACAGTAGGTTTGGGTGGCCTGTATTGCCAGGAAAACTTGGCACTATAGGCCAAGCAGTGGCCTGTAGTGCTGCTCTTTAAACACTCACGCTGTATGTTGAAAGTTGATCTATAAGACTGTTTTGGTATATAAAAGTGAAAACCTATACATAAAAACATATATCCATCACATTTCAATTACAGTGGGACCTCTACTTACGAGTGCATCCATGTGTGAGTTTTTCCAGATACGAGCAGCCGCTCGGTCGAGTTTTTGCTTCCAGTCGCGAGCAAAATTTCCAGATGTGAGCGGGCCTCAAGGGAGGTTCCTTGACACTGGTGTAAGGCTCTTGCTCTTGATCTAGGGAATTGGATCTCGGTTGTTTGTTGGACTATTTTATTGAAACTTGGGCAATGTATGATGGAAAGGCGCTTTTTAACATACATCAAATATGAAAGAAATCCGACCATAAATAATGGAGTTCACTTCTCAGCCATTAGCCTACCCTTAGTGGTATATTTTCATATGGTTTTATGGTTGCATTCTTATTTGATAGAATGGAAGATATACTACAGAAACAGATATGATTTTGATTGGTTTCACGATGAAAAGTACCTTGAAATTGAGCTCAAAGTAGCAGAAATGTTCGACTCTTTGGCGATGCTCGAGTAAACAAATATCTGTCCGACTGGCGCTGCCCCTCAACCTTCACATATTAGAAAGCTCTTCAACATTCTAGCAAAAGTGGGAGCAGGCATCATGAGGTAGCATTGGCAGACAACATGAAGCAGTAGTGGCAGACAACATGAGGCAGTAGTGGCAGACAACATGAGGCAGTAGTGGCAGACAACATGAGGCAGTAGTGGCAGACAACATGAAGCAACAGTGGCAGACAACATGAAGCAGTAGTGGCAAATAACATGAAGCAGTAGTGACAGATATCATGAAGCAGCAGTGGCAGACAAAACATGAAGCAGCAGTGGCAGACAACATGAAGCAGTAGTGGCAGACAACATGAAGCAGCAGTGACAGACAACATGAAGCAACAGTGACAGACAACATGAAGCAGCAGTGGCAGACAAAATGAAGCAGTAGTGGCAGACAACATGAGGCAGTAGTGGCAGACAACGTGAAGCAGCAGTGGCAGACAACATGAAGCAACAGTGGCAGACAACATGAAGCAGCAGTGGCAGACATCATGAAGCAGCAGTGGCAGACAATATGAAGCAGCAGTGGCAGACATCATGAAGCAGCAGTGGCAGACATCTTGAAGCAGCAGTGGCAGACAATATGCAGCAGTGGCAGACAACATGAAGCAGCAGTGGCAGACAACATGAAACAACAGTGGCAGTCCTTGTACCTTGAAAACAACCTTGTTGTACCCTGGTAGCAACCTTGTTGTACCCTGGTAGCAACCTTGTTGTACCTTATACTATAAGTGAGTTTCTGAATGCCAACATGAGATGGCAGTATGTATCAAAACAATGCTCAGTCCACTCCACTCACAGTGGAGAGAAGTCTCATGTTTTCCTTACGTTTTGTGCAGTTATTTCTTGTTTCTAACCATGGGTCTTAAGACAGTAAGTGCAAAGGACAGTGCTGAGAAGAAAAGGAGGATGATTTCCATGCAAATAAAGCAGGAAATCATAAATAAACAAACTAGGTGGAGGGTTAAGGACCTGGCCAGGCAGTACCAGCATACCACTTCTACGACATGTACAATACTAAAGCAGGAGTCAGTGACAAAGTGTAGCATTAAGAGTGCAGCAATTAAGTGTAGCATTAAGAGTGCAACAATTATAAGTCACTCTGTCTGACTTTTTTGGGTTTTCCTAGGTTCTCTATACATGCAGTCAGGAGCAGGAATGGCCACTGTGGTGGCCCTATAAGCCCCAACAACAACAACAATGGCTGCTGTCGCCACCACTAGCCACATACGTAATGACATACATTTTATTCATTCTAGTGTAGTATATATCATGTTTCTATGTTATTAATATTGTTTATTATGTCATATTAGATGAATTGTGATAGATATATAAGCTACAGAGTTGATATTAGGGAAATACTGAAATATTTTGTTGTGCCTGGAATTCCACTGGAACGCATTAATTCCATTTCACTTAATTTAAATGAGGAAAACTGATTCTGCAAACGAGCAAATCCAGACGCGAGCAAGGTCATGGAATGGATTAAACTTGTAAGTAGAGGCTCCACTGTACTTTATCTTAGTACAGTGGTACCCCGAGTTTCGTACTGCTCCCAAATGAACAATTATGTAAGTGTATTATTGTAAGTGCTTTTGTAAGTGTATTTTTGGGGATCTGAAACGGACTAATCTAATTTACATTATTCCTTATGGAAACAAATTCATTCGGTAACGGCACTCGGTACGTAACTCGGGGTACCACTGTAATTTGTTAACACTCTTGCTACCTAATTTTAGTCCCAATAAAAAGAAGTGCATATGACTTAATATGCAGAATATCAGAAACTCTATTAACTGATATTACCTGAAAAACAACAGCAATGAATTATTGCATTCTTCAAGAGGTAGTGTAAACTAACCTGTAACTTACCTGTCCCAAGACTTGAGCACATGACGTGATGAGCTTCTTGGCTGGTGGGTAAAAGCTTGTGTCATCTGATGTAAGCTGAACAATATGATAAAAGAGCTGACGGCCACTTGTTAGCAGCGATGCTACTTTACCCTTATTATTTACTGTTCTTGCTCTTCGAAATCCATTCACTAAGGAGCTGAGGATGATAAATTATGGATTAATGCACTGTTATTCGAGATGTAAATTAGGTATCTGTTTCTTTAACTAATGTTCTTTCTTTTGTAATAATATATACTGCACCACTATTGAGCTTATGCTCTCAGATGATTATTTTTAAAACTGCCTTATTTTCTTACCACATGTATAGTTTTGCAGCAAGGAAGTTTTTTTTTTATTTATTATTTATTAACACATTGGCTGTTTCCCATCAAGGCAGGATGACCCAAAAAAGAAGAAACACTTTCATCATCATTCACTCCATCACTGTCTTGCCACAAGCACACCCACGCTACAGTTAAAAAACTGCCACAAGCAAGAATGAAAAAAAAAAAAAAAAAAAAAAAAAAAAAAAAAAAAAAAAAAAAAAAAAAAAAAAAAAAAAATGTGAGGGCATGACAATTCAAATGGCTTTTTGTAATACAACATCCCTGATTTTTTTTGTGCTTGCACAATTCCTGTTTGCTCAGTTTTTCCAATACAGCACTATTTTTTTCTCTGTTGCATGTCCTTTTTTATCTGATAAAGCTTCTTGGTCCTAACCTTAAACAGCAGCATATTTCTTAAAATTTTGTGCTATTAGAGCACCTTCTGGTGCATTCTTATATATTATCTCATAGTCATTCATATACTTTAGAGCCAGACAACATCCCTTTCCTTAAACAAGCACCAAAACCCACTAATCATACAGACTATTTATACACACTAATGCACTTCATGCATTTATGACACTATACTTAAATTTCAAATTTCTAAATAAACATGGTTACAATTGATATTAAAACAATAATTTTAATTTATTGTCTTGCCTCTTTATTAAAAATTTTATGGAGCTCATTAAGTTGATATTTTTCAATATAAAAGCAAACTATTCAACTTTAGTCTGTATAATTACAAACCTTACATAAAGCTAAGAATTTTATACCGACATTCTTAACTTTCTATCAAGGTCAAAATCCAAGTATGAAGGAATACTGATTATCAATATCGCCACAACATTTAAAACCTTCTCCAAGGAGAAGAATCCTTCCTCCATAAGCCATGCGTGTCATAAGAGGAGAAAACAATACCAGAAGCAAGGGGCTAGTAACCCATTCTCCTGTATAAATTACTAAATGTAAAAATGAAAAACTTTACATTTCTTCTTTTTTGAGTCATCCTGCCTTGGTGTTAAAAAATAATTACATCCTGTACATGCAAGAATAACACTGAGGTTAGAACTTACGTGATTATGGCCTCCAAACTGACTGCTGCTTGACACAGTTGTAATGGTGGTGGTTTCTGACAGTGCTGTAATACTCCTTCATACTGTTCCCGATTCTGCTCTACACGGGCGTTTTCCCTCTCACTCAACCGAGCTTCAGAAAACTAATGAAATAACAGCATAAGTAATAATTAAAAGATTACATATCTTTACGAGGGAGCAAGGGGCTAGTGACCCCTTCTCCTGTACAAATTACTAAATTTAAAGAGAGAAACTTTCGTTTTTCTCTTTGGGCCACCCTGCCTTGGTGGGATACAGCCGGTTTGTCGAAAAAAGAAAAATCTTTACGAATAGTTATATAACTGAATAATACATTAAAAATACTCAAGTGATCCAAAAAGTTAGTGCCCTGATTTTTTGCGATATATTAGGCATATGCTAATGTTTTTAACCCCTTGACTGTCACAACCCCAAATCCTGAGGAGTCTCCTGGTGTCCCAAAATTTAAAAAAAAAAAAACTTATGAAATTATAGAGAATCTTTTCCCGATTGTAATGACACCAAAAGAATGAAATTTGATGAAAAACCGACGAAATTACGCTCTCACAAAGTTTGTGACCTCAGCAATATATACGAATTGGCAATTTCGCCCACTTTGAGCCCTATTTTCGGCTAATTCCATTGTTCCAGTCGACCAAACTCATAACTATTTCTTTAGAACTCCATTTTTTCTATCGAATGAGTACAAGAAACTGCCCATTTACCAATTTCAACTACCCAATAACATGGTCAGAAATTTACAATTTGGCCAATTTCACTCAAATTAAAAAATATGCCAATTTCAAAATAGGGTCCAAAATTAATAATGCAGACATTCCTGGCTCTAAAATAACATATTCTTTGTTCATCAGTCATGTCTCCAGGCCCCCCCTAAATATTACTCTTACTTTCTATTTTGAATTTTTATTCAAACAAAAAATAGGAGATTTACTGTTATGCAGACTACTGCAATAATGTAATAATTGTATAAATAATGTCAACCAATTCATGACTGCATATTAGAATGGCTAGTTGGACATTTATTGAAAAGATGACATCATTTGTTTACTTTTGAACATTGGCAAAAATCAAACATTTCCTCTACTTTGAGCTCCATTTCAAGGTTCTTTTCATAGTAAAACCAATCAAAATCATCTCTATTTCTATAATATGTTTCCCATTCTATCCAATGAGACCAAGAAAACGAGAATATAACCATAAATACTATACAAAAATAGACCACAAAGTCGGCATTTTAATTAAAAAAAAAAAGGTCAGTTTTTTCTCATTATGCAGTGCGTGCTGCAGGATTTTTTTTTATATGGTGCACATTGACCACACAGATCCATTTTCTCACATGTGGGCCTACCAGATTTCTCCTGCTTGATTTGAAGCCGCTAGAATTTATGAGTGTATATACGTCAAAAACGGTGGCTCGTAAGGCATATATATACGACCAAAACAGTCAAAGGGTTACTATCCATGAAATGCCTTATCTACTGAATCGGTCAGTTAGTCCTTCAGATGACTGAAGAGGTATGGTGATACTGACAGTATGTGGGTAAAATCATTTAAAGAGGAGATGTTTCCTCAATAATTGCCTTAATTGTTCATGTGTCTTTTCTTTTTTTAAACATGTCGGCCATTTCCCACCAAGGTTGGGTGACCTAAAAAAGAAACACTTTCACTATCATTCAATACTTTCACTGTCATTCACACACAATCACTGTCTTTGCAGAGGTGCTCAGATATGAAAGTTTAGAAGTCACTTCACTCTAAACAGCCAATATCTCAAACCCCTCCTTTAAGGTGCAGGCATTGTACTTCCCACCTCCAGGACTCAAGTTCAGCCAACCTGAATCCCTTCACAAAATATTACCCTGCTCACACTCCAGCATATAACCCTTGAGGTACTGGGGAGCATGTACAATATATTTCATAAAAGTTGCAAAGGTAATACTGATATGGTGATGCTTAAAACTAGAAATGTTACAATCCAATTGTTCTCATTAACTGATGTACTTATGTACTGTTAAGAGGATTATATTCCATAGTGAGATCCTATAAATATGGTTTAATTTTATTAGGACAGCCAAAGGAGGCATGCCCAGTATAAATAACAAGCCAAAATTTATATATAAAAAGCATTCCTCCCAGAGAATAATAGTAAAATAGAATCAAGAAGCTTTGCTGACAACAGAAGATTCTGTATGAGTGTCATCCATCAAGGACACAGCAAATCTCCAGGATGAAATTAACTAGATCTTCCAGTGGGCTACAGAAAACAATCTGATGTTCAACACGCACAAATTTCAGTACAGATTATAAAATAAATTCAAATCATTTAATAAACTGAAGAGGCATGAAAGGGACTTGAGGGTGAAGATCCTCAACATGAAGAAACCTTAAAATTATTGCATGGTATTTCATCATAGGAAGACGAAAGCCAGCTGTATGAACCAGGTGCATCTATTCCAGCTCAACCTGTCTATCTACTTCCCCCAAAAATTAATTCAAGATTTTTCAGGTGAAAATTACACAGAACACAGGCATTTTATTTGAACTTTCCCTTCTCGCATACTTCTTCAGTGCTAACTCCTCATGTACCCCTCTCTGTCTTATATCTTCTTTCTTTCAACACACCAGCCATATCCCACCAAAGCAGGGTGACCCAAAAAGAAAAATGAAAGTTTCTCTCTATAAATTTAGTAATGTATACAAGAGAAGGGGTTACTAGCCCCTTGCACTCTGCATTTTAGTCGCCTCTTACGACACACATGGCTTATGGAGGAAGAATTCTGTTCCACTTTCCCATGGAGATAAGAGGAAATAAACAAGAACAAGAACTATTAAGAAAAGAGTAGAAAACCCAGAGGGGTGTGTGTATATGCTTATACATGCATGTGTAGAGTGACCTAAGTGTAAGCAGAATAGCAAGACGTACCTGAAATCTTGCATGTTTATGAGACAGAAAAAGAATACCAGCAGTCCTACTATCATGTAAAACAATTACAGGCATCTCTTTCACACTCACCTGGCAGGACAGTAGTACCTCCTTGGGCGGGTGCTGTATACCAACTACTACTTCGGCTCTATATGTGTATTACAAACAGCTTGAACTTTTTTGCAATATACCATATTTCGTGGCTTATAAGACTTGTTTTAGTTTTAATGGCTCGGCATCGAATGTAACCGGGAGAGTTACAGCCAACCTCACACCCCAAACTTATAGCTCCCATCACTGACCTTTAGCTTATAGGATGCAGAGTGGTTTTTGTAGACTTTCATGAAAAAAAAAAAATGCATCTCATAAGCCATGAAATACAGTAGCTGCTCAAGCAAAATCTATTCTATTTCAGAATTACAGATTTTTTTTTCTCAAATTCTTTCATCCAAATAAACTTTTCTAACACAAATTCTGTCAATGTTTTCTACTGAATATTTAGTTAACTTTGTGTTTGCAGAAATTTTTTGTAGTAAAACATACTATCAAATTGAAAGATGCTCTTTTTTAAACCTTATATGCTTTCTAATTATATAAAAGACCTTATACTTGTGTGAGAAAGACCTGCCTAGCAGGGGTCAGTGGTCCTATTACAGTGTTTCTTTATTCTTATGGTATGAGATCAGGTTATATGTTCAAAAACCACATGTGTGTTTCTATTACAACTGCAAGGAAAATGAGAGACTGGACACCAAGAAGATTCACAACAAGAGATGCCAAGTCAATGCTGATAATCTTAAATATAATTTTACTTTCTAAACTGGAACACTGTTCCACACTAACAGCCCATTATAAGGCAGACAAATACAGTGGACCCCCGCATAACGATCAGCTCCCAACTCGACCAATTATGTAAGTGTATTTTTGTAAGTGCTTTTGTAGGTGTATTTTTGGGGGTCTGAAACGGACTAATCTAATTCACAATATCTCTTATGGGAACAAATTCAGTCTATAACGGCACCCAAACAGACTTCTGGATTGAAATAATATCGTTATCTGGGGGTCCACTGTATACAGATCTGGCGAACCCACAGAGAATTTCACATAAAAAATAAAAAGTCACAATACCACAGCTAGAACAACCAGCCAAAAACCCACACTTAGAAGAACCTTCTCCACTTCTTACATTCCCTAGTTGTTACTTGACAATGTTCCAGGACAGACTATTATTATTATTATAATCAAAACTAAGTGCTAAACCCACCATGGTCATACAGTCAGGACTTACCAAAATGCCGTGTAAGGTTAGAACAGTAAAAACTTTCAATATTCAAATATCTTAACTATAAAAGGACACAAGTGCAACTAATGTGACATTTTATTATGGCAACGTTTTGCTCTCCAGGAGCTTTATCAAGCCATTACAAACAATACATGGACACACAGGGTATATATAGGCTCAGAGTGAGGTGCAATACAAGTGGTAGTAGTAGTAGTAGTAGTGACAAAAGTTGTAATAGTAGTAGTAATGCAATATGGTAGAGCAATTAATTCGTACATGAGTAAAAGCATATAAAAGCTGTTATTTGGGTAACATAAAAATAGGTTGGACAAATATAGACTGGATAGAGGCAGCCTGATTTCCGTAATGCGCTTTGTGTAGTATAACAGGAGAGACTATGTGATGGCAGGGTTTACTGTTTTCAAGAGGATTCTTGCTAAGACTTCAGAGATGGTGAAGCTGCTGTTGTTTTGTTTAATTGTATTCGAAACAGCGATCAGTGCTGATTCGAGGCACTTGCGTCTGCAGAAATTAGTTTCTTTGATCACTAATTGGGCGTCCCTGAATTTCGTGAGATGATTGGTGGAATTTCGGTGTTGTACACAGGCGTTGTTCAAGTTATCGTTCCTACATGCGTAAATGTGTTCGTTGAGGCGGGTGTCGAGATTTCTTGCTGTTTCACCTACGTAAATCTTGTCACAGCCTCCACAGGGTATAGTGTAAACTCCTGCGTTGACTGGTTCATGGTGCTTTGATTTTGTCCTGGTTAGATCCTTTGTTGAAGTGCTAGAAGCGATGGCGACTCTGGTGTTAGCTTGTGAAAGTACTTTAGAAACGTTCAGTGCAACCTGGCTGTTGGGAAGAATTATAACTTTGTTGGGAGTGGTATTGGTGCGTGGAGAATTAATGATCTGGAGAGCTCTTTTCTTGCAGTTTTTGATGAAAAAGGAAGGAAAATGTAACTCAGTGAATGTTTGGTGAATGTATGAACATTCCTCTAGGTGTTCCATGTGGAACACCTAGAGTCCGAACACTTCGCCAACATCATCCCTTCAAGCGTCACTTGGTTACGTTACGTGGACGACGTCCTCGTAATAACTCCCAAACGTTTTGATGTACGGAATCTTCAGGCAAGGCTCAACGCAGTTGAACCGGCGATCCAGTTTATACTAGAAGAAGAGTCCAATGACAAGCTACCTTTCCTCGACGTCCTCATTCACAAAGTAGACAACAACCTAAGATTTCAAGTTTATCGGAAACCTACCAATAAAAATGATCTCACACACTTCTATTCCAGTCAAGATACCAAGACCAAAAGAGGCATCATCATCAGGTTTTTCCTAAGAGCATACCGAATTTGTAGTCCTGAGTTTCTTGATGAGGAATGTTCATACATTCACCAAACATTCACTGAGTTACATTTTACTTCATTTTTCATCGAAGACTGCAAGAAAAGAGCTCTTCAGATCATTAATTCTCCATGCACCAACACCACTCCCAACAAAGTTATAATTCTTCCCAACAGCCAGGTTGCACTGAACGTTTCTAAAGTACTTTCACAAGCTAACACCAGAGTCACCATTGCTTCTAGCACTTCAATAAAGGATCTAACAAGGACAAAATCAAAGCACCACGAACCAGTCAATGCAGGAGTTTACACTATACCCTGTGGAGGCTGTGACAAGATTTACGTAGGTGAAACAGCAAGAAACCTCGACACCCGCCTCAACGAGCACATTTACGCATGTAGGAACGATAACTTGAACAACGCCTGTGTACAACACTGAAATTCCACCAATCATCTCGTGAAATTCAGGGACACCCAATTAGTGATCAAAGAAACTAATTTCCGCAGATGCAAGTGCCTCGAATCAGCACTGATCGCTGTTTCGAATACAATTAAACAAAACAACGGCAGCTTCACCATCTCTGAAGTCTTAGCAAGAATCCTCCTGAAAACAGTAAACCCTGCCATCACATAGTCTCTCCTGTTATACTACACAAAGCGCATTACGGAAATCAGGTTGCCTCTATCCAGTCTATATTTGTCCAACCTATTTTTATGTTACCCAAGTAATAGCTTTTATATGCTTTTACTCATGTACGAATTAATTGCTCTACCATATTGCATTACTACTACTATTACAACTTTTGTCACTACTACTACTACTACTACCACTTGTATTGCACCTCACTCTGAGCCTATATATACCCTTTGTGTCCATGTATTGTTTGTAATGGCTTGATAAACCTCCTGGAGAGCGAAATGTTGCCACAATAAAATGTCACATTAGTTGCACTTGTGTCTTTTTACTTTACATATTGTCGGTAATTCTACCAACTTTATTACAAATATCTTAACTATTGGGAATGCCTGAAGTCCCTTAAACTGTACTCCCTGGAATGCGGTGAGAAAGTTATATCGTAATTAAAAAATACTTTGAAAATTCTGAAAGAGCTGGCTTCAAGTCTGCACTCTGATGTTATTCCTTACAAGCAAAGAGCATAGAAAAACTATCAATCCCACAGCACATTAAGCACCTTCTTTTTAGCCTTGCCTTTGTCAGGTGTAATTACCATAAAACTACATTTTAGCTGAGCTTTTATTTTAAGTAGAATATGTACTTATTGCCAATCTGCATAACAAAATTAAAATTATTTTATTTGAAATGGTTGGTGATTCCTTTTTTAATGTAATTCTCCTTTGATGTTAAAGCCTAGTATGCTTGTACAACAGTAGGAGAATTGGGAAATAGTGCAGAATACCCCTAAATAAGAGAAAGTGTACAATATGTACACAAAGAGAAAGTTTAACAAGTGAAATTACCCAAGACTTTTAACACTCTTCCTTAATAAATAAAGCAAATTACATTTCACCGAATAAGAGCTTCAGTTTTGGGCACACTGGCTTTTGGACATACTGGTTTTTGGCATACTTCCATATGAATCCAACTTGAGTTCAAATGGCATACTGTCATCTGAACTCATCCTGTCTGGTAATGAACTTGACAGAGTACACACAGGCAACCAAATGAGAACCATTACTTGTAGAACTGCAAGGCTGCATTTGTGTAAAAGATAGGCACCCAAATTTTCCATTCATGGGTAACCCCCAGCTAGGAAATGAACCTAATGATGATGTTTTGGTCTGTCCTTCACCACCGTACAGACATGGTACTATGCCTTTTTTGTTATTCTTTAATGTGCATTTGGATGAGAGGAAGGTAAAGTTCATTTGAGTGTGTGAAGGAGGCAATGAGAATTTGTGTGAGGGAGGCAAAGTGTATCTGTGAAAGAGGGAGGTACAGAGTATTGGTGTGAGAAGCACTCTGCATCTGTGAGAGGGATGCCAAGTGTATGTGTGAAAGTTAGGTAAAGCATATCTGTGCGAGAGGGAGGGAAAATTTATTTATTAACTCGTTTGTATTCTGTGGAGTCATCAGACTCCACCAAGCATAAAGAACTACACATAATTTGTGTTTACACTGATAAACACATGACAATATTCCCACTTCTTGCTGTCTTATTCTAAAGGATAATTGTATAACTTATAAGTAGTAGGTTGGTAGACAGCAACCACCCAGGAAGGTACTACCGTCCTGCCAAGTGAGTGTAAAACGAAAGCCTGTAATTGCTTTACATGATGGTAGGATTGCTGATGTATTTTGTCTGTCTCATAAACATGCAAGATTTCAGGTATGTCTTGATACTTCTACTTACACTTAGGTCACACTACACATACATGTATACAAGTATACATATACACACCCCTCTGGGTTTTCTGCTATTTTCTTTCTAGTTCTTGTTCTTGTTTATTTAGTTTTATCTCCATGGGGAAGAGGAACAGAATTCTTCCTCCGTAAGCCATGTGTGTCGCAAGAGGCAACTGAAATGCCGGGAGCAAGGGGCTAGTAACCCCTTCTCCTGTATATATTACTAAATTTGAAAGGAGAAACTTGTTTTTCCTTTTAGGCCACCCCACCTCGGTGGGATACAGCTGGTACGGTGAAAAAAAAAAAAAAACTGTATAGCTACAACATAATATTAAATCAGTTAAGATAATGAAACAGAGGAAAAATACCTTGTTTTTTATGAACTTGCCATCAACAATGTATAATTTTTCTTAAGCTGCAAGGTCCTGTCCCTTTTTATGACAAAATATTTCCTCCATATTTCCAACTCATATCTGAGCACATTACACAAGAAATACAAAAATCTCCAAGCAAGTTGTGTTCCTGGTTTATCAACTTGCAAAGCAAGTTGTTAGCATAAAAAACAGTAATATAGAGGACTGTCACATTTCACACATATTTGTGTACCTGCTTTACAGCTTACAAACAACTTGTGTTCTTGGTTTTTCCAACTTACAATTGTACAGAGGATAGTTTTTCACACATATTTGTACTGACCTTAGCAGTTTTAAGTCTATAGTATTTTCTAAGTGCCCTATTTGTAAGTGTAAATGTATGTAACTTGGAGCATTTGAAATTTGTGACCTGTATGAAGATAAACTAGTAACAATGTAAGCAAACACTGTATTATTAACATATGCATAGATTACTCACCTCTATAACAATATTTGCTGGTCCTAAACACTTAGGCTGTTGGCGGCCAATTTTAGGAGGTTTACACTCAGCAACAAGAATGGTTTTCGTAGGTGCATTTGTATATAACTGTGGCAGTAATTCTTTATACACACAGTCAAGAGCACACATTTCGCTGCACCACAAATTTACAGTCTGGGCATGTTCTGCCACTAAATCTGAAAAAAATGTCAGAAATACAGCATAACTGACATACTTTATCCTTATACATGATGTTATGTCAATAACCTTTTTCTACATTTTTTGATACATCCCTTAACCCTTTCAGGGTTTCTGGCATGCTACTACATTTTATGCACCAGGGTTATTGACGTACTAGTACGTGTAAATTCTAGCGCTTTCAAATCTAGCGAGGGAAAGCTGGTAGACCTACATATGAAACAATGGGACTATGTGGTCAGTGTACACAGTATAAAAAAATCCTGCAGCACACATTGCATGAGAAAAAAAAAACTTTGACAGCGTTTTTGGGTTAAAACAGCGACCTTGCAGTGTATTTTCGTATGGTATTTATGGTTGTATTCTAGTTTTCCTGGTCTCATTTTATGGAATGGAAGATATATTACAGAAATTGAGATGATTTTGATTGGTTTCACAATGAGAAGTACCTTGATATTGAGCTCAAAGTAGAAGAAATGTTCAATTTTTGCCAAAGTTCAAAAGTAAACAAATCATGCCACGCGTCCAATACATATCAACTGGTGAATCTAATATTCTTTCACAAGAGCGCTGATATTATTTATACAATTTCTACACTAATGCAGTAGTCTGCATAACAGTAAATCTTCTATTTTTTGTGAGAATAAAAATTCAAAGTGGAAAGCAAAAGAAATGTAAGAGGGGCCTGGGAATGTGACTAATGAACAGAGAAAATGTTATTTTAGTGCCAGGAATGTCTGTCTTGTTTATTCTGGACCCTATTTGGAAACTGGCATCTTTTAAAATTTGTTTGAATTTTGCCAATTTCTGACCACTAGTTGAAATTGGTAAATGGGTGGTTTCTTGTACTCATTCGATAGAAAAAATGGAGTTCTAGCAAAATAGTTGTCATTTTTGTCGGCTAGTACACTGGAATTGGCTGAAAATAGGGCTCAAAGTCCGCGAAATCACCGATGCATAAACATCGTCGAGACTACTAACTTTGCGAGAGCATAATTCTGTAAGTTTTCCATCAAATTTCATACTTTTGGTGTCATTATGATTGGGAAAAGATTCTCTATCATTTCATATGAAAAAATCATTTTTATTTTTTCCGAAAAATTTTTTGATCCTGAGAACAAGTTTAGGAGAGGGCCTCTCGGCCCTGAAAGGGTTAAATATACCATACAGTGGACCCCCACATACCGATGGCATCACATAGCGATTAATCCGCATACCGCTTGCTTTAATCGCCAAAATTTTGCCTCACATACCGCTTAAAAACCCGCTCACCGATTTTCGTCCGAGACGCGTCCAATGTGCGGCCTGAGCCACGCTCACATGTTCCGCCGGTGGCATTGTTTACCAGCCAGCCTCCGCGGTAACATCCAAGCATACAATCGGAATATTTCGTTTTATTACAGTGTTTTCGGTGCTTTTTCTGGAAAATAAGTGACCATGGGCCCCAAGAAAGCTTCTAGTGCCAACCCTACAGCAATAAGGGTGAGAATTACAATAGAGATGAAGAAAAAGATCATTGATAAGTATGAAAGTGGAGTGCGTGTCTCCGAGCTGGCCAGGTTGTATAATAAACCCCAATCAACCATCGCTACTATTGGTGGTACAGCTGCTGCTGCTGCTGCACTGTCAGCTGCTGCTGCTGCTGTAGCATCGTCTGCTGCTGCTGTAACATCGTCAGTTGCTGCTGTAGCGTCGTCTGTTGCTGCTGTACCACCGTCAGCTGCTGCTGCTGCTGTAGCATCGTCTGCTGCTGCTGTAACATCGTCTGTTGCTGCTGTAGCATCGTCTGTTGCTGCTGTACCACCGTCAGCTGCTGCTGCTGCTGTAGCATCATCTGCTGCTGCTGTAACATCGTCTGTTGCTGCTGTAGCGTCGTCTGTTGCTGCTGTAGCGTCGTCTGTTGCTGCTGTACCACCGTCAGCTGCTGCTGCTGCTGTAGCATCGTCTGTTGCTGCTGTAGCATCGTCTGCTGCTGCTGTAGCATCGTCTGTTGCTGCTGTACCACCGTCAGCTGCTGCTGCTGCTGTAGCACCATTGTTGGTGTGGCTTATTGAGAATACCAAGAAACAATTAACCCCAGAGGATTTGCCACCCAGGATAACCCAAAAAAGTCAGTGTCATCGAAGACTGTCTAACTTATTTCCATTGGGGTCCTTAATCTTGTCTCCCAGGATGCAACCCACACAAGTCGACTAACACCCAGGTGAACAGGGAAAAATGCCTGGAACTAGTGCTCATATTGGTGAATTTAAAGCCAGCAAAGGTTGGTTTGAGAGATTTAAGAATCGTAGTGGCATACACAGTGTGATAAGGCCTGTTCTGGAAGAAAATACCAAACAGGACCTACAGTACTCAGGAGGAAAAGCTCTCCCAGGACACAGTGTCTCATCAGTCATTGCTGCATCTTCAATAAAGGTAAGTGTCATTTATTCTTCATTTAGTAGACTAGTACATGCACAATATATACTGTGCATGTACTACTCTACTACTGTGCATGTATCCTTCTCTTTGTGTGTGGGAAAATGTATATTTCATGTGGTAAAAAATTTTTTTTTTCATACTTTTGGGTGTCTTGCACGGATTAATTTTATTTCCATTATTTCTTATGGGGAAAATTCATTCACATACCGATTATTTCGCATAACAATTACCCCTCTTGCACGGATTAAAATTGTTATGCGGGGGTCCACTGTATATAGAATTTTTCTAAAATGAGCTCATTGAATTTACTGGATCACCAGGGGTACTTAACCCTTTTACGATTAAAGACTACCAATGAATTCGAAAACATGTGCCCATACCCCTTTCACCAGATGGACAAAATAATTATCACCAGTCCTATTACGCCAATACCTTAGTTTTACTTTACTTATAGATAACTAGCAAAAACAACTGAGAGTTTATTCTAATCTAACAACAACTCTTTTTAAAATTATTCAGAGATTAGGTCCCATACCCCCCATTACTTGGCATCCATACCACGGGGTATGGAGGTATGGATACCCATGGTTAAAAAGCCTTGCCTTAAGCTTATCTTTGTGCACTTTTATTATAAGCTCAAGGTTTTGCAATTAGTTTGTATTTAATTAAACCACTAATTATCTTAATATTAAAATTACCAATATGTGTTGCAATTTGGAGAAAATCTCTAACATACTAGATTTTTTTTTTTAACAAGTCGGCCATCTCCCACCGAGGCAAGGTGACCCAAAAAGAAAGAAAATCCCAAAAAAGAAAATACTTTCATCATCATTCAACACTCACCTCCTCACACATAATCATTGTTTTCGCAGAGGTGCTCAGAATACAACAGTTTAGAAGCATATACGTATAAAGATACACAACATTATTCTTTCTTTCAACACACCGGCCGTATCCCACCGAGGCGGGGTGGCCCAAAAGGAAAAACGGAAGTTTCTCCTTTTAACATTTAGCAATATATACAGGAGAAGTAGGTTACTAGCCATGCTCCCGGCAATTTTTTAGTCCCTTTACACACGCATGGCTTACGGTGGAAGAATTCTGTTCCACTTCCCCATGGAGATAAGAGGAAATAAACAAGAATAAGAACTAGAAAGAAAATAGAAGAAAACCCAGAGGGGTGTGTATATATGTGCTTGTAAATGTATGTGTAGTGTGACCTAAGTGTAAGTAGAAGTAGCAAGACGTACCTGAAATCTTGCATGTTCATGAGACAGAAAAAAGGACACCAGCAATCCTACCATCATGTAAAACAATTACAGGCTTTCGTTTTACACTCACTTGGCAGGACGGTAGTACCTCCCTGGGCGGTTGCTGTCTACCAACCTACTACCTAGGGTTTCCCTGAATCCCTTCACTAAATATTACCCTGCCCACACTCCAACAACTTGTCAGGTCCCAAAAACCATTCGTCTCCATGCGCTCCTATCTAACACACTCATGCACGCTTACTGGAAGTTCAAGCCCCTCGCCCACAAAACCTCCTTTACCCCCTCCCTCCAACCTTTTCGGGGACGACCCCTACCCCATCTTCGGTCCCCTACAGATTTATATGCTTTCCAAGTCATTCCACTTTGTTCCATTCTCTCTATATGACCAAACTACCTCAACATCCCCTCTTCAGTCCTCTGACTAATACTTTTAGTTACTCCACACCTCCTCCTAATTTCCACACTACAAATTCTCTGCATAATATTTGCACCACACATTGCCCTAAGACACGACTGCCTCCAGCCACCTTCTTGCATTTACAACCCATGCTTCACACCCATATAAGAGTGTTGGTATCACTATACTCTCATACATTCCCTCCATTGATAAAGTTCTTTGTCTCCACAAATACCTCAATGCACCACTCACCTTTTTTCTTTCATCAATTCTATGGCTAACCTCATCCTTCATAAACCCATCTGCTGACAAGTCAACTCCCAAATATATGAAAACATTCACTTCTTCCATACTCCCTCCCTCCAATGTGATATCCATTTTTTCTTTATCTAAATTGTTTGATACCCTCATCACCTTACTCTTATCTATTTTCACTTATAACTTTCTACCTTTACACACCCTCCCAAACTCATCCACTAACCTTAGCAACTTTTCTTTAAAATCTTCCATAAGCATAGTATCATCAGCAAAACATAACTGTGTCAACTCCCATTTTGTATAACTTAATTTTGTATAATTTAATTCCACCCCTCTCCCCAACACGCTCATATTCACTTCTTTTACAACCCAATATATAAATATGTTAAACAACCAAGGTGACATTACACATCCCTGTGTAAAGCCTACTTTTACTGGGAAGTAATCTCCCTCTCTTCTACACACTCTAACCTGAGCCTCACTATCCTCATAAAAACTGTCATGATCCCATCAGTTCCAGCTGCTTTACCCCTTCATTCTCTGTAATGCCTCACACACCTTCCCCACACACACATCCTGCTCTTCTTCACTCCTAAAAGATGTTATACCTCCCTGACCAGTGCATGAAATAACTGCCTCCCTTTCTTCATGGACATTTAACCCTTTGACTGTCGCAAGCCCCTTTCTGAAACTGTCATTCTATGTTGCAAAATTTTTGGAAAAAGAAAAAAATAATTTTTTCTTATGAAATGATAGAAAATATTTTTCCTATGGTAATGACACCAAAAGTACAAAATTTGGTCGAAAACTCACGGAACTACACTCCCGCGAAGTTAGCGGTCTAGGCGACATATACGCATCAGCGATTTTGCCGACTTTGAGCCCTGTTTTTGGCCAATTCCATTGCTCGAGTTGACCATACTCATAACTATTTCTTTAGAACTCCATTTTTTCTATCAGTTCAATACAAGAAACTCCTCATTTACAGATTTGAACTAACCAATAAAGTGGTCAGAAATTGGCAATTTAGCCAATTTCACGCAAATTAAAAAAGATGCCAATTTCAAAATAGGGTCCAGAATAAAAAAGTAGACATTCTTGGCACTAAAATAACATATCCTCTGTTCATTAGACACACCTCTAGCTAGGCCCCTCTTATATTACTATTGCTTTCTATTTTGATTTTTTATTCATACAAAAAATAAAAAAATTACTGTTATGCAGATTACTGCATTATTGTAAAAATGGCATAAATAATGTCAGTGCACTAGTGAAAGAATATGACTCCCCAGTTGATGTGTATTGGACGTGTGGTGTGATTTGCTTACTCCTGAACATTGGCAAAAATCGAACATTTCCGCTACTTTGAGCTCAATTTCAAGGTCGTTTTCATTGTGAAACTAATCAAAATCATCTCTATTTCTGTAATATGTTTTCCATTTTATCACGAGAATACAACGATAAATACTATACGAAAATAAAACCACAGTCGGTGCTTTAATCCAAAAAAAACGGTCAGTTTTTTTTCTTATTATGCACTGCGTGCTGCAGGATTTTTTTTATGTGGTGCACACTGACCACACAGATCCATTCTCTCACATGTGGGCCTACCAGCTTTCTCTTGCTTGATTTGAAGCAGCTAGAATTTATGCGTATTAATACATCCGAAACACTGGCTCGTAAGACGTATATATATGACCAAAACAGTCAAAGGGTTAAAAGTTCATAAACATATTCCCACCATCTACCCAATACCTCCAGCTCTCCATTTACTAACTCCCCTACTCTGTTTTTAACTGACAAATCCATTTGCTTCCAAAGGCTTTCTCAACTTGTTTATCTCACTCCAAAACTTTTTCTTGTTCTCAGCAAAATTTCTTGACAGCGCCTCTCCCACTCTATCATTTGCTCTCCTTTTGCACTCTCTCACCACTCTCTTCATCTTTCTTTTACTCTCCATATACTCTGCTCTTCTTATATCACTTCTGCTTTGTAAAAACCTCTCATAGCTATCCATTTCCCTTTTATCTCACCCTTTACCTCATCATTCCACCAATCACTCCTCTTTCCTCCTGCACCCACCCTTCTATAGCCACAAACTTCTACCCCACATTCTAATACTGCATTTTTAAAACTATCCCATCCCTCTTCAACCCCCTCACTACCCATAATTGCACTAGCCCACCTTTCTGCCAATAGTTGCTTATATCTTACCTTAACTTCCTCCTCCCTTAGTTTATAAACTATCATCTCTTTCTTACTTACTGTTGCTATTTTCCTTTTGTCCCATCTACCTCTTACTCTAACTGTAACTACAAGTAGATAATGATCCGCTATATCCGTTGCCCATCTACAAACACGTACATCCTGAACCCTACCCATAAACTTTTTATCCACCAATACATAATCTAACAAACTACTTTCATTACATGCTATATTATATCTTGTACAACTATTTATTCTCTTTTTCATAAAATATGTATTATTTATTATCAAAACTCTTTCTACAAATAGTTCAATTAAAGGCTCCCTATTATCATTTACCCCTGGCACCCCAAATTTACCTACTACTCCCTCCACAACATTTTTACCCACTTCAGCATTAAGATCCCTAACCACAAGCACTCTCTCAATTGGTTCAAAATTCCCCAAGTACTCACTCAATATTCCCCAAAATCTCTCTTTCCTCTACATTTCTCTATTCCCCAGGTGCATAAACACTTACTATAACCCACTTTTCACATCCAACCTTTATTTTACTCCACATAATCCTTGAATTTATACATTTATATTCCTTCTTTTCCTGCCATAACTTATCCTTCAACATTATTGCTACTCCTTCCCTAGCTCTAACTCTATTAGAAACCTCTGACCTAATCTCATTTTTTCTCCCCAATGAAACTCTCCTACCCCCTTCAGCTTTGTTTCACTTAGAGCCAGGACATCCAGCTTCTTTTCATTCATAACATCCACAATGATCTTTCTCATCATTTGCAATACAACCATGCACATTCAAACATCCCACTTTGATGGTTTTCTTCTTTTTCTTTTCAGTAGGCTCCCGGCATTTTAGTTGGCGTTTACAACACGCATGACTTACGGAGGAAAGATTCTTATTCCACTTCCACATGGATATGAAAGGAAAAGTACTAAGAACAAGTGTAAGTGATGAGTGTGTATACATAAATGTGTATATGCATGTGTAGTGTGACCTAAGTGTAAGTATAAGTAGCAAGACGTACCTGAAATCTTGCATGTTTATGAGACAGAAAAAGACACCAGCAATTCTACCATCATGTAAAACAGATACAGGCTTCCGTTTTACACTTGTTTGGCAGTACCGTAGTACCTCCATGGGCGGTTGCTGTCTACCAACCTACTACTATAAATTACTAAATGTAAAAAGAGAAAAAACTTTATGACAGCATTTCTTCTTTTTCAGGTCACCCTACTTTGGTGGGAGATGTTTGGTGTTAAAAAAAATAAAAATCAGCAAGATAGTGATGTGCTAGGATGAAATTTTCAGAGATTAGTTGTACCTGTGTAACGCTTGACAAGTGAGAGAAGGCCCTCTTGATCTACTAATGTCTTGTCTTGGAGGCTGGGTGTGTGGAGTGGACTTTTGGGTGGTATAGGAGGAGGTGGCTGTGGAGGTTCATAAGTCTCAAGTCTCTTAATGATGGACTGTCCAGGATCACGCTGTTCACTGTTCCTCTGTAAATGAAGTTTCTTTCGGTGCTCGGGAGATACAGAAGGAGAACTTGAGATGCCACTGCAGCTTTTCCCACTGCGATGTTGCTCCCACACTCTGAAATCAAAAGCCTCAAACTCTTACAAAAACTTAGGTTAAACAATATTAACAGAAACCTTCTTAAAAACAGAACAGGCCCAATCAATTGCTTGTTTAAAAGTTGTTAGAAAAAATGCAAGGACCTTGAAATAAAACAAAAATTTTACAACATTGTTACCAAAATAAGTGATTAATAAAAAGTAATAAGAAAAGCATTTCTAGTTTTATAACACTCTGATCATCTCCTACTGAGGTAGGGTGACCCAGCAAAGAAGAAAAAATTTCACTGACGCTCAATAAATCATTATCTTGCCAGGAGAAGGCCAACATCAGCTGACCCTCTGAAATGAAGCATCCTCATCCTTCCTTCACTGTACTTCCCACCTCCAGGACTCAAGTCTGGCTAACCAGTTTCTCTGAATCCCTTCATAAATGTTACCTTGCTCACAATCCAAAAACACACCAAATAATAAAAACCACTTTCCCCCACTCACTCCTATCCAACGTGCTCACATAAGTCTATTAGATGTTTAAGTCCCTAGCACTCAAAACCTCCTTTACTCCCTCCCTCCAACCTTTCCTATGACCCCCCCCCTCCCCCGAGTTATACACCCTTCCAATCATCCTATTTTAGTTTAGACACATAAAAAAAAAATCCCATCCTTAAAGCACTTTAAATATTTTGTCTTAAATGATTACTAACAACTGATGATAATTTTGTTTACACACCTGAGAAATTTCTGGGCACTTTCTTCTATGGTTTTCCGGTTGATAGCTTCAGGCCAGGGCTCCCAGTTGCCCTAAAAAAAAAAACATCACAGCAAAATTTAGCATTCATCCGTAAAAATCTTTCCAATACGTATTATATAACTTAAGTTTTCATACTGTATATATTTTGCTGGATTCAAAGGTGTTATGAAGCAACAGCCTTCTGGATCTGCCATCAGTAGATACAGAAAACTATTGGTTCATGACTCATCAAATTGTAAAATCACGACTGCAAGCAAACCCAGGAATGGGTGAGCCACTGGCCTGTGAATTTAAAGACTCACTTCCCATGGGTTCAAACCTCACTTGTTCCATGGTTTGACTGTTAGTTCATAACTGCACCTTTTGAAATATTAGTCATAATACTCGATAGAAACTTCACAAGTCATATTTTATGGTTAAGTATTACTCCAAAAGAAACAATTACAAAACAATAAATCTGCAATGACTAATGATTATCACTTCTAATAAAAACTAACTGGCATATAAAATAATGAAAACCATGTAAAACTAAAATAAATCCTCAAATGATTGCAAGGTATTGTTCATACTGGCCTCGTGCAACGAAACTGCAAATCTCATATACTACAAAGGTAAGAGCATATGGAATTATTTTGCAGCATCTTAAGGCTTTGATACAGAAAACTGCATCGATATACAATACAACAAAGAAATTTCTTTATTCATATTAGTATTAATACATTATCAATTAAATATTTTATTTATTTTTTTTATTATCACACTGGCCGATTCCCACCAAGGCAGGGTGGCCCGAAAAAGAAAAACTTTCACCATCATTCACTCCATCACTGTCTTGCCAGAAGGGTGCTTTACACTACAGTTTTTAAACTGCAACATTAACACCCCTCCTTTATTTGTCAACAAATATTCTTATAAATTTATAATTGCAGAGAAATTAGAAGAAAATGATATTCAAAAATCAAAGGTTCAATCAAGTTGCTAAAAGTACATGTTACTTATACATATACTATATACCTTCAACATATAGTACCTTTGAACGATTTTGAGAGTTCTACTTCTGAAGCCCAACCCCAAGCCAGGCTCGTCTGCTACTTGTTTAATCAACCAGGCCAGTAGGTGGCCAGCTGGCCCACATAGGCCACAGCCTGGTTGATCTGATTGTTAATAAATACTTGTCCCAAATAAGGAAAATAAGATGTATGCTATGCCTGACTTGCACACATGTTGAAATTCCAGTTTACACATGTAACTAATGAACTTGGGAATTTGAGGATGGGTTGAGCACTATGTAGTAAACCACTCTGCTTCAAACTAGTAACAGGAGAAGCACTACTCTATCCACTCTATTCTATCCAAACTTTCAATCATGGGAGCCCATGATCCACATTGGACAACAAACTGAAACCTAGTGAACCCCAAGTTTGAGAAGAAAATGTATGAGTGAGCAATACCCCAGTAGTAACAGCCTGATTGATCAGGTCCTGATCCACTGCGAGGCCTGGTCATGGATCCTGGCTGTGGGGGCATTGACCCCCAAAACTCCCTCTAGGTATACTTCAGGTATACCCCACCAATTAACAGTGACCATTATTTATTAACTTGTGAGGAAGACTAAACCAGGTGACTTGGTTCTCACACTCCATCACCAACCATGTAACATACATTCTCATGAAACCTATGGATTTTCCTCTACAAGTATAGGATCTGGTGTGGAAATGGTATGTTGTGAAAATGAGTTGTCTTTAGACTGAATGTACTATTATTAATAGTACATTCTTTGGGGAATGCTAAATCCAGAAAGGCCATATAGTTCCTGGGAGAATGAGGGGCATTCAGGTTTGATTCATTGATCAGGATGGCAAGCCCAATTCCTTGGATCAAGACCCCTTGATGGCATCAAAGAGCCTTTCTTGAGCTGGGGGGAGGGGAATCTGTACTGAAACAAATTTATACCAGCACAAAGGTTAACTATAAATATAAGACAGTGATGGAGTGTCTTGAAAATAATATTTGGATGAAAAATAATTACTGTAGTAAAAAAACTCAATAATGGAGAGGTAGAATAAAATTAGCTTGAGAGACTATATTGCTGAAAATTTTCAGTAATTCAATTTACAGCCATAATTCAATACGACAAGAGAGGGTGTAAGAGCAGTTGAACACTGAGCGTAAGTTGTGCTAGGATGGAAAATACAAATAAAATGTCTATGTAATGTAACTCTTACTTGGAAGATCTGCATTAATTTCTGTGGAAGTAGATGTGGAGGCAGAGCTGGAAGGTATACACCTGGCTCATACAGCCGACTTTCATCCAGCCATGCTTGCATACCACGTAATAACTTCGTGGTTTCTGCAAGCTAAGAAAAATACATTATCAGTGAGAATATTTACTGCTAATATTATGAGCCTGTCAGCTATTTCCCACCAAGGCAAGGTGAGAAATAGTTACTACCCTTCTGTGATTTTCTGGTTATTAAATGTAGGGGAAATGGTAGGCAATCCTCTTCCCCTTAAATTATTTTTTTTTCAACAAATCAAAGGCATGGTGACACGAAAAATAAAAACTTTCACCATCATTCACCCTATCGTTGTTTTGCTATAGGCATGCAGATACAATAGTACAGATGTCCCCCCACACAGCAAATATCTTCACTTCTTCCCTAGCGTGTAGGCACTGTACCTCCCACCTCCAGGACTCGAGTCTGGCTAAAAGGTTTCCCTGAATCCCTTCACAAAATATTAGCCTGCTCATTCAATTATTATTTCTAGTTATAGATAGCTGTAGCCCATAAACTTTAAATTAAATTACTTAATTGCAAAAATAAACATTCATCAACTGGGCTTATTATTCAGAGTTTTCCTACCACATAGTAGAATTACTTTCTGAACCTCATTCTTACTAATGCTCAAATTATATACTATACCATCTACTGCATTATGGACAATATGTCTTAATACAATTCAAAAACAATGAAACTGACTTTTCCTCCTTTTATCTAACCTTGACGGAACCTTGTCCCAGTCATCAACTTGTTGCTTCTCTGAACCATTTATCTGACCTTAATTATAATTTTTTTTTTAACTAACTTCAAAAACTTGTCTCTACGGCTTCTCTCAATAGCTTAGTTATTTGTGACCCCTCTGATTACCGAGTGTAAACAGTATGAACATACCTCCGACAGAATACAATACAGTATTTATTTCAATGCCTTCCTATTAGAAGTCCAAGCAGCTGAGACAGCAGAGCATCAAACTGTCAATTTACGGACAGTGGTTCGAGCCCCTCATTCATCCTTCTGTTTATACATTGACAGTTTTTTTATTAAAATTAAATCTGAGTTCATACCTATACCAGTCCATGTAGCTGAAATTTAAATAGTTCCTTACCTGAGGATCTGGAGCTGCTGCTTCCTCCTCTGGTTCTTGGCTTAAGCAAGACTCATAGTGCTCAACAGCACTTGCTACCTTCTTCTTTATCTTGCTAAGGAATGCTGCATTCAACAGCCCATGATAAAAACTGGAGACTACACTGCCACACTCATACTGCCTGCAAATGTGTCATCAAGGATGAAGAACAAATGCAACATGACATGTTAAAACTTTCTTTTTGACACACCAGCTGTCTCCCACCAAGGCAGGGTGACCCAAAAATGAAGAAATGAAGTTCTTCTTTTTATATTCAGTAACTTACACAAGTGAAGGGGTTACTAGCCCCTTGCTCCCGGCATTTTAGTCACCTATAACATGCATGGCTTACAGAGGAAGGAAGGACTCTTCTCTGCTCTCCCATGGAGTAAATTGAAACTGTGGCATTTAAAATAATGAGAATACGGATAAAAGTAATATGGGACAAAATATGCTAGGACAACAGATCCGAAAACAGTCCTCTGATTACAGAATTATTCAGTATTCACAGGTAACCTGCATTTTATTGTATATTTTATTTCACAAGGCGCTAAATGTGTGGGTCATTTAGAGCAAGTTTTAGTGAAGGATCGATCCTCTGTCAGCCAGACATCAGGCAGACATGTGAAAACAAGTAACCCACATGTAGGAGACTGAAACTTCGGTATGACTTGGACAATTGTGCCATTTTGTTCTTTAACCAAAATTGCTACAATCACGATTAAATAACCATCTTTCTATCCACCACAACTGTCGTTATTAGCCACACCTACCTCCCTGTTAGTCTGTTAAATTGAAGGTTTAAATAATAAAAAGGCACAATAATGCGACTGAAACAATACACAAATAACCAGCACAATGGAGAAATTTCTGACAACATTTTGGTCGAACTTGAACCATTAACTTACTAAAAAAGTTTGACCACAAAAAATACAGCCGGTAATTGAAACCAAATTACTATATTCTAAGATATTAGGATTATGAACTTTATAAGTATTAAAACAATAAACAGAACATGTATTCTGAGCACCTCTGCAAAAACAGCGATAATGTGTGAGTGTAGTGAAAGCGCTGAATGATGATGAAAGTACAGTGGACCCCCGCTTAACGATCACCTCCAAATGCGACCAATTATGTAAGTGTATTTATGTAAGTGCGTTTGTACGTGTATGTTTGGGGATCTGAAATGGACTAATCTACTTCACAATATTTCTTATGGGAAAAAATTCGGTTAGTACTGGCACCTGAACATACTACTGGAATGAAAAAAGTTCGTTAACCGGGGGTCCACTGTATTTTCTTTTTGGGGATTTTCTTTCTTTTTTGGGTCACCCTGCCTCAGTGGGAGACGGCCGACTTGTTGAAAAAAAAAAGAAAAAAGTATTTATTGGGATTATATTTCACTCAGTCATGTCATGACTTGATAAAAGAGAGAGAGAAATACTAATAGCAATCTAATGTGGTAACAGTGAATGAGATAGGTCAGTATAGATAGCCAAGTAGCAAAAATTAAGAAGAATTTCCCTGTTGACCTAATTAAACTCACAAGGTCTATTGCAGGACCATATTTTTACTTTCTGTCAAAAGTGGCAGTTTTAATAAAAGGACACACAATTTATTATGTAAAATGAAGAAACAAATCCAAAGATAACCACATATGGATATATACAAAACATAATTTGAAAATATAGTCAACCTAGTTACTAACCCAGGTTGTGGAGGAACACGTGCCATGTGTAGTGTGAGGTACATCTGTAAGGTGACTGGGAAGGCAGGATGGTCAGCTGGAAGGTCCACTACCTGCTGGCCCCACCGGTAGATGCTCAGTAGACTGGAAGACACTGGACCAAGGCCTAGATCACTTCCTATTTTCTGAAAATGTTATTTATTTTATTATCACACTGGCCGATTCCCACCAAGGCAGGGTGGCCCGAAAAAGAAAAACTTTCACCATCATTCACTCCATCACTGTCTTGCCAAAAGGGTGCTTTACACTACAGTTTTTAAACTGCAACATTAACACCCCTCCTTCAGAGTGCAGGCACTGTACTTCCCATCTCCAGGACTCAAGTCCGGCCTGCCGGTTTCCCTGAATCCCTTCATAAATGTTACTTTGCTCACACTCCAACAGCACGTCAAGTATTAAAAACCATTCGTCTCCATTCGCTCCTATCAAACACGCTCACGCACACCTGCTGGAAGTCCAAGCCCCTCGCACACAAAACCTCCTTTACCCCCTCCTTCCAACCTTTCCTAGGCCGACCCCTACCCCGCCTTCCTTCCACTACAGACTGATACACTCTTGAAGTCATTCTGTTTCGCTCCATTCTCTCCACATGTCCGAACCACCTCAACAACCCTTCCTCAGCCCTCTGGACAACAGTTTTGGTAATCCCGCACCTCCTCCTAACTTCCAAACTACGAATTCTCTGCATTATATTCACACCAAACATTGCCCTCAGACATGACATCTCCACTGCCTCCAGCCTTCTCCTCGCTGCAACATTCATCACCCATGCTTCACACCCATATAAGAGTGTTGGTAAAACTATACTCTCATACATTCCCCTCTTTGCCTCCAAGGACAAAGTTCTTTGTCTCCACAGACTCCTAAGTGCACCACTCGCCCTTTTCCCCTCATCAATTCTATGATTCACCTCATCCTTCATAGACCCATCTGCTGACACGTCCACTCCCAAATATCTGAATACATTCACCTCCTCCATACTCTCTCCCTCCAATCTGATATTCAATCTTTCATCACCTAATATTTTTGTTATCCTCATAACCTTACTCTTTCCTGTATTCACTTTTAATTTTCTTCTTTTGCACACCTATAGCAACTATAAAAATGACATGGTTATTATTAGTTTTGCAAAAATGAAAATGAAATATATTTTCAAAAAGACCTCACAATAGTTACACATACAAAAAGTTACAAAAAAAGGCACAAAAAAGTGGTTATAATTATAACTAATTTTTAACTCTTCCGATGTTGGTCCTGTAATACTACAACTTTGAAGCAGGGTCGGTCCTGTAGTTTTATGCCATGAGCTCAGCTCACTCAGATAAGCTTTGAGCAGCAAATTTGGGCCTAGATATGAGAGAATGATCTATGTGGTGTGTGTGTGTGCCATGTAAAAAAAAAAGAAATCCTGCAGAAAACAGTGCATAATGGGGAAAACTGCAACAGTGTTTTTGGTTTAAAACAGCAATTCTACCGTGTGTTTTCGTATGGTTTTTATGGTTGTATTCTCAGTCTCATTTGATAGAATGGAAGATATATTACAGAAATAGAGATCATTCTGATTGGTTTCAGGACTGAAAGTAGCTTGAAATTGAGCTCAAAGTAGTAGAAATGTTCAATTTTTACTGGTATTCTAGAATACACAAATGGCATCACTCATCTAATATGCATCTAGCGGGTTAGTCTAATACACATTTAGGAATGAACTGACATTATTTATACAATTATTACAATAATGCAGCAGTCTGCATAAAAGTAAATCTTTTATTTTTTTGTGTGAACAAAAATTCAAAATGGAAAGCAAGCATAATATAGGAGAGGCCTGGGGATGTAACTAATGAACAGAGGAAATGCATTTTTAGTGCCAGGAATGTCTTCATTGTTTATTCTGGTTTTGGTTGAAAGAGGCTGCTCCAAGTACAACTCTTAACAGAAAAAAAAAATATTTAGAGTAGCTATCACAATTATTGAGTAAGAAAAACAATTTAAAGAAGAAACAATACAATTACAGTCACAGAGATCCAGGAACTTTTCTTGTGACGGGAAGAATGGCAGGAAACTGCAAGATTGTACCACCATCTGAGAGCACTGCAAGATTGTACCACCATCTGAGAGCATTGCAAGATTGTGCCTCCATCTGAGAGTATTGAATGACTGTACCATCTGTGAGTATAACAAGATTGTACCATTTGAGGGCACTGCAAGATTGTACCACCATCTGAGAGCACTGCAAAAAGAGTACAGGTCAACCATCACAAATCCGGCAATCAGTTATTCGGTTCCTTCAGTTATTCGGCACAAATTTTGGCTAGCATAATTTAAAATTTCCAGGGTCGCCACACCAACCTGCTGGTACTGTTTGGTGGTGCTACTTGCTACATAAGTTATTCCAATTTCTTTTTCTCCATTTTTTTTTTTTTCATCACACCGGCCGATTCCCACCAAGGCAGGGTGGCCCGAAAAAGAAAAACTTTCACCATCATTCACTCCATCACTGTCTTGTCAGAAGGGTGCTTTACACTACAATTTTTAAACTGCAACATTAACACCCCTCCTTCAGAGTGCAGGCACTGTACTTCCCATCTCCAGGACTCAAGTCCGGCCTGCCGGTTTCCCTGAACCCCTTCATAAATGTTACTTTGCTCACACTCCAACAGCACGTCAAGTATTAAAAACCATTTGTCTCCATTCACTCCTATCAAACACGCTCACGCATGCCTGCTGGAAGTCCAAGCCCCTCGCACACAAAACCTCCTTTACCCCCTCCCTCCAACCTTTCCTAGGCCGCCCCCTACCCCGCCTTCCTTCCACTACAGACTGATACACTCTTGAAGTTATTCTGTTTCGCTCCATTCTCTCCACATGTCCGAACCACCTCAACAACCCTTCCTCAGCCTTTGGGACAACTTTTTGGGTAACCCGCACCTCCTCCTAATTTCCAAACACAAATTTCTCATTTATACACACCCAATTCCCTTCGACTGACACTCCCCCCTCCAGCCTTCTCCTCGCTGCAACATTCCCCCCAGCTCACACCCAAAAAAGAGCGTTGGTAAAACAAAATTTCCATACATTCCTCCTTTCCCTCCAAAGGACAAATTTCTTTGCCCACAGACCCCTAAGTGCACCCTCCCCCTTTTTCCCCCATCAATTTATCTTTGACCCCCCGCTGACACATCCCCCCCCGATACTGAATACACACCTCCTCCTACTCTCCCCCCCAATCGATATCCAATCTTTCATCCCCTAATTTTTTTTTATCCTCATAACCTTATCTTTCCTGTATTCACTTTAAATTTCTTTTTTTAAACCCCCCTCCCAATTCCCCACCAATTCGCAATTTCTCTCAAAATTTCCAAACACAGTGTCATCAGCAAAGAGCAACTGTGACAACCCATTTATGTGTGATTCTTTATCTTTTAACCCCAGCCTTTTCCCAAGCCCCCGCTTTATTCCTTAAAACCCCCATCAAAATTTTTAAAAACAACCAGGGTCACATCACAATCCTTTGTCTGGGGCCTATTTTACGGGAAAAAATTTCCCCCTCTTTCCTACATATTAACGGGCCCTCACTATCCCGTAAAAACTCTTCCTGTTTCAAAACCTACCTCCTACACCATACCCTGCAACATCTGCCACATCCCCCCCATCCCCCCGTCATACCCCTTTTTCCCAAATCCATAAATCCCCAAAAAGGGCCTCTTTATTATCTAAAAAATTTCATTAAATTATTTCACTTAAACACCGGCCAACACCCCCTACCTTTTCCTAAACCCCTTTGTTATTGCTATCCTATTTTGTTTACTCTTATTCTTTCAATAATAACTCTCCCCATACACTTTACCAGGTATACTCAACAACTTATCCCCCTAAATTTTTGCACTTTTTTTTATCCCCTTTCCCTTTATACAAAGGAACATGCTGCCTCTCCCAAATCCCTGGGGTTCCCTTTACCCCTTTTCCCATCATTTTTAAATAATTGCACCAACCATCCAAAAACACCCCCCTGCTTTTAACATTCTATCTTTATCCCCAATCCTGGCTGCCTTACCCCCTTTATTTTCTACTCCTCACGAATTTCCCCACACTCACAACGGGCTTTTCCTCACCCTAAAGATGTTGTTCCCCTTCCCCTATACAGAAATCACAGCTTCCCATTTTTCATCAACATTTAACAATTTCCCCTCAAAATATTCCCCCATCCCCCAATACCTCTAATTTCCCCTTTTATAACTCCCCTCCCCTTTTTTTTAACTGACAAATCCATTTGTTCTCTGGGGTTTTTCTTAATTTTTAAATCCACCCCCAAAATTTTTTCTTATTTTCAAAAAAAATTTGTTGATAAACTCCCCCCACCTTTTCCTTTTCCTCTCTTTTTCCCTTTCTTCCCACTTCTTAACCTCTCTCTTTTTCTCCATATACTCTTCCCCCCTTGCATCACTTTTTTCTTGAAAAAACTTCTCAAAAGCAAATTTTTTCTCCCTTACTACTCTCTTCACATCATTTTCCCACCAATCGCCCCTTTCCCTCCCGCACCCATTTTCCCCTGAACCACAAACTTCGGAACATCAAAACACTCTTTTTTAAACTCCCCCAACCTCCTCGACCCATTGCCTATGCTCTCTTTACCCCACTATCCCCAAATGTTTTATATTTACCCTAACTGCCTCCTTTTTTAGTTTAAAAACCCCTTCACCTCTCTCTTCCCGAGTTCTATTCTCCTTGTATCCCATCTACCTTTTACCTCAGTGACTACAACTAGAAAGTGATCTGATAATCTGGGCCCCCCTATAAACATGTCTCCAAAGTTATCAACAGTCTTTTACCCCAAATACATAATCCAACAAACTCTGTCTTTTCGCCTACATCATATCTTGTAACTTATTTCCCCTTTTTTTCTTAAAATTGTATTACCTATAACAAAAACCCCTTTTATACAAAGTTCAATAAAAGGGCTCCCATTACATTTACACCTGGCACCCCAAATTACCTACCACACCCCTCTAAAAGTTTCTCCTATTTTTAGCATTCAACCCCACCCAATTACTCTCTCATTTGTTCAAAGCCCCTATACATTCATTTAACATCTCCCAAAATCTCTCTTTTCCCCTCTGCATTCCCTCTC